AAATACCCCAAACAAATGAACGTGCMAAGGGCCAGATTCCTCACTGCTCTGTTGTTCCACTCTGAGCGCTGAGGTGTAGGGCCTCAGCAGTGCCCGAAGCCGGACTTCCAGCTGCTGCATCAGGAGGAGATGACAGAGGAGAGGAGAATTTGGGCTGACGAGGCAGGGTTGTGGCAGCCCCCCATCACATGCGCAGCTACAAGATCCAGAGACATCAGCCATGACTTGGCAGGACATCCGGGCTCTGAAGAGCCACAGGAATCACATGGATAACTCTGAAGTTAAACTTAAATTTGATCCTTCCCTTACCGTGAGCTCACACAAAGCAGAGTAGAGGGGAACTCCTGGCTAAGGCCTTGTCATTCTTGTCAAATTAGTCTAGCCTGTTCTTAAAATCCAGCACTGTTCCCACAGCTTCCCCAAGCAAGGAGAGGCTCTAAGACTTACCTGTCCTCTGTATTTGCAGTTTTATTTGAGCATTTCACAGTTTAAACGCTTTTTCCCCCCGTCTGTCCCCATAGACACATGGGGCAATTTAATGCCTCCCTCTTTGCACTTCTTTTACACTCTTAAAGACTTTTTTTTTGGGTCTCCCAAGCCTTTTTCTCTGCAGATTAAGTAATAACAATACTTTCAAGCTTGCCTTATAATTGCTATTTTTCAGAGCTCTGATCATTCTTGCTGCCTTCTATCCAAGGACTCTGCATCTTTCATGGACACAGTACTGGACAAAAACTCCAGCAGAAGCCTTACCAGTGCAGAAGGGACTGCCCTTTCCTTTTTTGGCATTCTGTCGATATTATTATTATTGTTATTAATTTGTATTATGTTTTCTTATTAGGAAATGATTGCACATTCTTGTCAAGCTCTCAAAGAGACAAGTTCACCAAAATAATGTGTGCTAATAGAGAAGAAATAAAATTCTAGTTCCAGATATGAAAAATGATCTAACAATTATTATTACAGAAACCATTTCAAATACACTTATGTGGCAGAGTACCAATGTTTATCACAGTAAGAGTTAACTCTGGAACTTACATGAGAAAACTACAATAGCTTCAGTGCTGAGTCTGTGCAGGAGTCATTATATACCCTACTGTAGACAATGATGCTTTGGGTGAGGATAATCCAAGACCTAACAGGACTCCCAAATCCAGGCAGCCATGAATTCACTGGTCCCTGGACTACTTGTGTCAGAGGGTACTCAAGAACCATGAGGAAACAGAGCGGCTCCTTGCACAGCAGGAGACTCACGTGGAGGCAGCGGTGTCCTGGCACTTGCCTGCAGGTAGAAAGGCTCTTGCCTTGCACCTGAGACATGTGGAAGTGAAAATGGTAGCTGTGTGAGCCAGGAACGTCACACATGGAGTGTTTAAAGCTAAGAAGAACGGATTCGTGTAGGTTGAGCCAGCCCCTTCTCAGACCACGCTCTCATGAGCTGCTGATGCTCTCATGAGCTGCTGATGCGCATCGTCCAGGCCAGTTCTATCTGAAATCATTCCTCAGTGGAAACCACAGCCTGGTAAAGTGAAGAGATTTGCTCGAAAACCTGTGGCACTCCCAGTGACAGGACAAGGGGAAATGGTACAAGCTGAAACACAGGCAGTTCCATCTCCAGGTGAGGAGGAAGTTCATTCCTGTGAGGGTGCCAGAGCCCTGGCACAGGCTGCCCAGGGAGGCTGTGGAGTCTYCTTCTCTGGAGATCTTCCCAAGCCGCCTGGATGCCGCCCTGTGCCCYGTGCTCTGGGTGTCCCTGCTGGAGCAGGGGGGTTRGACTGGATGATCTCTGGAGGTCCCTTCCAACCTCAATCATTCTGTGATTCTGTGATCTGAACTAAAACACAAGCACAGCTGCATCTTCACCTGGTCTTTAGGTGGATCGGGACCACTACCTTCAACCTTTCCTGAGTGATTTGGTATCAAAAAATAGACATTTTGAATACTTCTAACTGAACAGAACCCAGAAATTGGCCACAGGAATAAACAAGGCAATGTCCATAAACAAGAGAAGGCCCTACTTTCTCCACCTCACATTGCTTTCTTCTATTATGGGCCTCCATTACTAATTTGTTTGTAGTCATTTAGAAAAGCTATTCAAATCAAATAGTTAAGCTTAGCTATTCATCAAGGGGACGGGCCGAGCTATTTAACTGGGTTCTTCATTTTAGCTACCTGTATGCACTTATAAATCAATTCTGAAATGTTTACCAAAGGTTTCCAAAAGACAGTCTCAAATGATGAGACTTGATTGACGAGATGAAATTGAAGAGCTTGTCTTTGAAAATGCRTGGATAGTATTCAGGACCTCTCCGGCACCCATGACTAACAAAACAACCTTCTGTGGTTTATGGTTGTGAGTCACCCCTGAGTAAAACTAGACTGGTCATTAAAATGCATTCATTCCAAGAAAACCTCTCTACTCCCGTTGGGCTGCCCTATGAACAGAAACAATTTGGTCACTGTCAGTTTAAAATTTAAATTGAATTGAAATATTGACCTCTTCAGAGATTTCTTTCCACCTGAAAAGATCTTCTGGTTAAAAAGCTTTACAATCCATTTCATGAACCTAATTTGCCATTCCCCAATGAAGCTCCTTCCATGGAAATTCTCCTGCTCACCAGACTGTAGGGCACCCTGTCCACCAGGCAGCAAGATGGGTGAATTATAGGTGACAAAGTAAGCAAATAAGGGCAGGATCCTGCAGCCTCAAAGATGGGCACATCAGYATAGGATTCCTAAGCGTTCCCAGCAACATCCTATTTTTAAGAGCTTTTGTCCATGAACCAATAAGAAACCTATAAGGGTAAGAGGCCAGAAAACAAAATTCTTCATCCCTAATGAGCAAATTAAAGGATCACACTGCAGAGTCTGTGCAAGATAGACTAGACAGTGATGTTAAGGTCTAATTCCTTTAAAAAGCAACCTTGAACATTTCTTGGTTCTTTTGCGAAAACTCTATAGTTTATATAGACAGCTGCTCAAATGGGAAAACCTGGACTCAGTCTCCACCCATGTGAGCTCTGATTTCAGCACTCAGGAGAGCGGAAGTTCAGACACCCCGTTTTGTAACAGATTTCCCTTAGGGATTGCTTGTGTTGGAGAAAATATTTATCCACCTTTCTGGACCATCCAGGTCTGCCCTGGAATTATTCAATGAGCTGAATACTTGCCTCCAAGATGCAGATGAGTCATCTGGAAATAAGGAACGAGCTCATAACCACTCAAACTTTTTTTTTTTTCTTTCCCGACATGAGACTTACTTTATTTATTTATTTATTTATTTATTTATTTATTTATTTATTTATTTATTTTTAATGAGTGAAAGTGGCAACGACCCCAACGACTACCACCAACTGCTGTGTGAGATCTAGATCTGGTGCTCCAACAAGAGCAATCCCAGGGTCCACACACAAAGGCAATTTTAATTCTTTTTCCTTGAAAAACGGCACATTAAGCCACACACACCGAGAAAGAAAGAAAGAAAGAAAGAAAGAAAGAAAGAAAGAAAGAAAGAAAGAAAGAAAGAAAGAAAGAAAGAAAGAAAGAAAGAAAGAAAGAAAGA